GGCTGCATTAATTTGTAAATAAGATTCTTCTTTCTCCACATTATCTCCAACATTTGTTGGCAGAATTCTTTTTTAAAAGAATATTTTATTTATTATTTTTATTTTATGTGTATAAGTGTATTGCCTGCATGTATATAAGTGCACCTGTATCGTGCAGTTCCCTTGCAGGTCACAAGAGGGTTTTGGATCCCCTGGAATTGGAGGTTGTTACTGCCATGTGGGTGTTGGGAAGCAAACCCAGGTCCTCTGCAAGAGCAGTCAGTGCTCTTAACTGCTGAGCCGTCTCTCTAGCCCCAAAGGGAGGAATTATTTATTGTGGCTCACCAGTACAGAGGTTTTAGTCCATCATAAAGAGAATGTGGCTGAACAGAGCAGCTTCTACCAGGAGGCTAGGAAGCAGAGAAAGATGCCTATAGCTGTTGGCTTCTCCTTCCCTTTCTGTATGAGCCCCCAGGTTCTGTGTAACCAGCCCACATTCAGGGTGGGTCTTCCCCTCTTAGGTAACCCTTGCTAGAAACACCTTCACACACACATCCAGAGTTTCCTCACTAACTTCCATCAAGTTGATAATCAAGATTAGCTATAGTGCCTGTCTGCCTAGCTAACTATCCATCCATCAATCTATCCATACACCATTTATCTTCCCATCAATTATCTATCTATCTATCTATCTGTCTATCTATCTATCTATCTATCTATCTATCTATCTATCTATCTATCTCTACCTATCATCAATCTATCATCTATCTCTATCTTCATCATCATCATCACCATCATCTGTGTCTATCTGCTATTTATCTATCTGTATCTATATGATCTCTTTTTATTCTATCATCTACCTATCTATTCTGGTCCTCAGCTCTGTCCTTTTCTCTCTCTTGTCAATTTAGGAGCATTTTTATGCACATCTCCTAGGGTTCCTCTTTGTGAATTTCTTCTACGTTCAGTTCTTTGTGCCGTTTATTATATCGGAGATAAGCACAAAGCTTAGTAAGAATGACTGTGTGTGTGTGTGTGTGTGTTTGTGTATACAGGTGTGCACAGGTATGCATGCATATGGACACTGTTTGGTGTCTTCTTCAATTGCTTTCCACCTTATTTATTATTTATTATCATTATTATTGTTTTTTGAGACAGGGTCTTACTATACAGCCTGGCTGGCCTGGAACTCAAATGTAGACCAGGCTGGCTTCAAATTCACAAAGCTCTGCTTGCCTCTGCCTCTTGAATGCTGGGATTAAAGGTGTGTGCAACCACCCCTGGCTTCCACCTTAGTATTATTATTTTTGAGACAAGGTCTCTCCGTTCAGTTCTTTGTGACGTTTATTATATCGGAGATAAGGACAAAGCTTAGTAAGAATGACTATGTTGTGTGCGTGTGCGTGTGTGTGTGTGTGTGTGTGTGTGTGTGTGTGTGTGTGGACCATTTAAAAACATATTCCACCACAGGAGCTGGAGAGTTGGCTCAGCAGTTAAGAGCACTGGCTGCTCTTGCAGAGGATCTGGGTTCGATTCCCAGCAACCACCCACATGGTGGCTAACAACCATCCATAACTCCAGTTCCAGGGGAACCCAACGCCCTCTTCTGACCTCCATGGGCACTGTATGACACAGATACACTTACATACATGCAGGCAATATATTCATACACATAAAGTAAAAATAATAAAATATTTTAAAAAGAGGACTTTTATCTTTGAATCCTTTCTTGTGGGGGCTCATTTCCCGGGAACAGAGCAGCCTGAGAGCAACAGCTTCAATGACTGCCTGTCCTAGCTACTTCCTATTGCTGTAATGAAACACTGACAAAGTCAACTTGGGAAGGAAAGGGTCTATTTTACCGACGCCCTCTTCTGACCTCCATGGACACTGTATGACACAGATACACTTACATACATACTTTCTTGTGGGGGCGCATTTCCCGGGAACAGAGCAGCCTGCGAGCAACAGCTTCAATGACTGCCTGTCCTAGCTACTTCCTATTGTTGTAATGAAACACTGACAAAGTCAACTTGGGAAGGAAAGGGTCTATTTTACCTTACAGCTCACAGTTTATTATCAAGGGAAGTCAATCAGGAACCTGGAGACAGGAAGTGAAGCACAGACCATGGAGGAACACTGCTTACTGACTTGCTTCCCAGCTTCCATTCAGTTACCTTTCTTATATAGCCCAGGCCTGCCTGCTTGCCTGCCTGCCTCCCTAGG